TAAAATTATATATAAATCTTTAAAAATCCATAACTTTTGATCCACTGAATCAATTTGTGTGATTTAACTATCAAAATGATCCTCTCAACGAGAGGATTCTAATGAATCTAAAATAATACAAATATGGTCACGCGATCACGAGATCGGTAGAGATTTATATTAAGCAGATTGCTACGGGCACAACATTTCACGTGCTTATGTGCTTATGGGCACAACAATGACCGGGAAGATTGTAGATCAAGGAACCTAGTGATATATTCGTGATCATCACATCACATGATTAATCATTCGGCCTAAGTTAAGGTTAGTATTAGGGTTAGGTGATAGTATAGTTTAGGCCAATTTGTTAATGCAAGTAAACAAATGACGTCATTGTATAATTTCACGTGATGTGATAATCACTGGGTTCCTTGATCTACAAGTGTCCTCAATGACCGGCATTACTAAAATACTCTTACCCTAACGTTAACTCTAACCTTAACTCAGGCCGATGTTGTGTCTATAAGTCACGTGAAATGTTGTGCCCGTAGCTTTCCCCTTATATTAAATATAAATCTTTGTTGATCTCGTGATTACGTGATCATACTTGTATGATTTTAGATTCTCTCATTGAGAGGATCATTTTGATAGTTAAATAATTTAAATTGGATCAGTGGATCAAAAGTTATGAATTTTTAAAATTTATATATTATTTAAAAAGCAATATTACACAAAAATTGGTACTTTACTTAATATTATAATTCTTTTTTTAAAATAATAACCTTGTATAAAATTTTGCAGACTTTTTGTAATTGTTACACCAAGCTACTTGCGTAGTAGCACAAAGCAACACTTAATTTTGGTTAGTTAACTTTTAAGAAACTAAAAATTTTTAATTTTTTATTAATTTTTTTTAAAAATTGAACAAATTGGATTTTTTTTAAAAAGATATTTAATTAAGAAATTATAAAAATTTTTTACAAATAAGTTATATAAATACTCAAATATTATATATATATTTGATTGCTTATTAATATGTAAAAATTTGAGTTTTTATTTAATTTAAAGTGTATCAGAATGGTGTATCATGCTTAATGAATTTACCAATAATTATTTTTGTTAGCAATTATAAAATTCGTGAATATATTTTCTCTAGCTGTAATTATTGCATAAATACTTCCATTTACACTTTAAAGTCCAATATAAAAATGACCCGAATGGTAACCTTTACGAAGCGAATAAACATAAACTTCGGCGAAATATGTATAGTTTGTTCTAGGAAGGTCAATGGAAGGAAAATAGATATATCCTTTAAACAAAGGCTAAAAATAATAAAATTATTTATGGATAAGTTGAAAATTATTGTTCATTTTTTATTTTTTATATATTATAAATAAGTAAATATATAAAATATATATATATCAATCTGATTAGTTGGACTTACTGTAGTTTGGCTCCAATAACTTGTGAAAACAGGAGTACATGCTGGTACATTGCAATGATAACCCAAAATTGAAACATTGACTACGGCTAAAATTATATATACGGTATATATCAATATTAAATACTTATTTGTAAGGACGATAAATACAATTCACATTGCTTACAATCACGAAGATTATTGTTATATTTCCATGCGACCTTTCCGTAGAACGGTTTATGAATCGTTGAACCCGCTTCCGGACTGGTAACGTTTACTAATTGCGCCGAAGCATTATAAGTAAGTATAGCTAATAAAAAGATGAAAATAATTCCAAAAGTTTTCATTTTTGAATTTAAAAAGGAGAGAATGCTAAAGTAAAAGTAGATGTCAAAACTGTGATTTAAATACAAAAAACTTAACATCATGATTTAAAGAAACGTGCGTACAGCCTATTGATAAGCATAATTAACAAATACTGTAACAAAATATTTGGATAAATAAGAGTATAGCTGTACCATAGGGCTTATGTTTAAACTATTTTTACTTTTTGTGTGGCTTTTATAATTACCATGGTGTGAATTATTGCGGTTCAAAGTTGAATAATTAACGT